ATACCATTGCTCTGGAGTCACTGAGGACCAAGAAGAAGGACCAGATCTGACTGTATGAGAAAAACACTTTTTCAAGGCTATATTGGAAGGCTGGGTATAAAGGGAGATATTCAGCAACCAACAAAGGCTCCCTTCTTACACCACACCGTCAGACATGGGAGGAACATCTCAGAACTGTGCAGAGTTCTTGTCAAGGAATCCACTTCGGTCCTTTTCAGCTAAGTGTTGACATATATGTATCCCAAATCCTTGCTTGCATTGCGTATCTATCTGTATTTAAAATGTGAATTAGAAGGCACTTTGGACATCTGCGCACATCCAGAAATACCGCCTGGACCCTTGTCCATCTCGCAGTGAGTTCTTTCCTTATCCCAGAATGCTGGCAGATGCTGGTGCACAGACAGCTATGGGCCCCAGGGAGAGGGAACTGCTCTGCCCAAGGCAGCTGGGGCAGGCACTCACTAAGCCCAGGTGCCTCTCTGAAGTGGGATGCTCGAGCTCAGGGAGAGCCAGAAGCCTGCAGTCCACAGGCGTGAACATTTGATAAACAACCCTGTGGGGCGTATTGAAGAAACATGGGCTTCCTGACCTGAATATCGGCCTTTCGGTATCAAGAGGGACACGTCCCTGTCGTGGGCAGTGAGGACACAGTGTCAAAACACAGAAGGTCCACAGGACAAGACATGCCCACTCGGGAGGTAAAGGTGCCCTGTGTGCAGATTTCTAAAGAGATCCTGGTCTGTCTGATTGGAAATACATCCCCAAAGTCAGGGATGGCTGGAGACGCTCAGAATTATAAACACACCTCAGGAAGAAAGTGAGGTTTCAACGGAACACTTGGGCCATTTGTGATGTGTGGGTGTTCCAGAGTGTGTGTGCATGGGTGTGAGACTGAGTGTATATGTGTGTAGCAGAGGTTGTGTCTGTCACGTCCTTCATTCCCAGGAAAATTGGTCCAAAGATTTCTTGGCAACATTTCTCTAAGGAGAGCTGCATTTCATGGTAGAGAAACATCCTAGCTGCTCCCATTCATTCACTCATTTTTATTTTTCAGTATCGAAGGCTGAACCCAGGGACTTCCCTGTGCCTTTTTACATTTTGAGTCAAGGTCCCACTAAGGCACCAAGTTGCTCAGGCTGAGTTCAAATGGGAGAACCTCCTGCCTCAGGCTCCCAGAGTGTTGGCATGATGGACGTTCACCGCCATGCTCAGCACCCTAGCTTCTACAGTCCTGAAGGAAGCATGGTTCTATTGGGCCTGAGCATTAGCTGCTGTTTCTCCTACTGCAATGGCAGGAAGACCCTGGCACCATCCCTCGGGGGGGACGCTACCTAACCAGAGCCGGGAAATCACAGGAACATCCTCTGCTGTCTAAATCTCTCATGTGTCTTTCTTAACACATGGCTTCCTCCTGTTACGGAGGGAAAGAGAAAGTAATGTGCTCTGAGTTTAATAGATGGCTTTTCCACAGCTTTACTTTCACAAATAAGATATTAACTTTCTAATGACGGGCACAGAAATTCAGTTTGATTTCCAAAGATTTTCATTAGGACAGATTTAATTTAAAAATTGTGGTTGCATTGCAAAATTCCATGACAATGACCCTACCCAGTCCCTGCCTAGTCAATTCACTTAAGAGTAGATTAAGAAAGAATAGAATAGAACTTTCATTTCTGCGTTTCAGAATAACGAGTGTTGTGGCACTCACTCAAACTGCTTGGAAACTCACATTGCTTTCCTCAGCTTTACATTTTCTCTTACATACCTGATGTTCCAGTCAGTAACATTACATATTTCTATAGGTCATATGCTTGTTGTAGTTGACTGATGGTTAAACCGATTGCAAACCCAAGTAAAGATTACCTCCCTCTTTTTTGTTGTTGCTTTGTTATACAGATTCTGATGGTGACCCGTGACTGATGGTTTCAGAGCCCAGGTTGGTGGTGGTCGGGCACTTTCAGCCACCACCATCTATCTCTGTTGGCAATGTCTAGTCCTTCTCTTCATTCTCCTAAGGCCATATTCCCCAGTGGATGAGCAGCCCTGGAAGTGTCCCAGCACGTGATGACAACTTCTCTTTGTTTTAAATAAATCACATTGTTTCCCACCGATTTGCTAACAAGAAGTCGATGCCTCTCCTATTAGGAGTCATGAAATAAATCAGATATACAACATCAAATGATAGCTCTTAAACATCACACAATTTCTCTTATATGAGAAACCCAAAGTGTAAATACATTAAAGAGAAAAATCAAAGGTCAGTAACTGGAAACAGGGAGACGGAGCTTTTGAAAATGAGAAGGGAACCAAGAGCTAAAGGAGTGGAGAGGGAAAGAAGATGAAGGGGTTGGAAAATGAATTACGACATGTTAAGCTTTCCACCCTGAAGGTAGTCATTATGTACTAGAAACATGTACTAAGTAAGAATTTAAAAAAAAAAAGAATTCTGGGCTTTAACAACTGCTTGGCATCCTTATTTTGGAAGAAGTGAGCAGGGTGATTGTCTGGTAGTACTGTGTGCTCCATTCTGGCTGATACTGGATACCTACTCTTAGATTCAACAGGTCTAAAGTTCTTTCACCACTGCCTTGGCTTCCTGGGCACAGGGCAGTGTCATTCAGGTTGGAACTTAGAGACAGCTCAGTCACGACTTGGCTGAGGGCACAGAAATCTCATGAAAAGAGATTCAGTAAGTATTTTTTCAAATTTTAGTTGTCTATTAAGTCACTTTAAGGAAGGTCCATCAGGGTTATGCTTACCATAATTCTATCTCCAGAAAACAGGAGAAAAGTTCACTACAACGGGTCAGAAGCCAGAGAGAACCCACAAGGCAGATTCTCACTCAGAACCCTGAGAGCCATCAATGATCTGAACATGTACTAGAATTTCTTCCACTAGGTAAGGAGGTTGACAGCACATAAAAGGTGTGAGGGCTTTTCTCACGTCACTGTATACTGAAGAGTGAAAAACATCCCACCAGGTGAGCAGAGTTGTACTGTGAAAGTATAAAGACGTACTTTGTCTCTGTTCTGGAATGTTGCCCTAGAAACCTGCTTTCTTTGAGAATTGAAGGTTGTTAGGTATAACAGTTAAAACTAACTAAGAAAAAGCAAAGCAAAATAAACAGATAACACCTTTCTGAGCTCCTGGGGCAGTGGTGGTGAACCTATGGCACACGTGTGATTTGGTTTTCTGTTAAGACAAAAGATTTTAATGTATGAGTTTAGTTTTTCTAAATTAAAACCTCAGTATCCAGATTCACTTTCAGTGTTGGCACTTTGTGATAAATAAGTGGATTTTGGATTGCAGTCTGGGCATTCATCTAAAATGTTTGCCATCCCTGATCTAGCATAATATTACAGCAAAGATGATGTCCAGCGCTTGGAAAATTCATTGTATTAATGCAATCCTCTACCAATTATTGAAAAATTTCTCCTTTTTGTATCCAGTGTTTTAAAACTTTAAATACTGTTAAATACAATATATTTAGAATGTTTCTAATCACCTTAGGTAGCCGTTCCTCTTAGGCTGTGTTGTGTTTTCAACGTCTTTTTGTTTCTACTTCTTTTATATCCAAAAGGTCCTTAAGATGGCTGCATTTAGTTATAAAGGTATTTAAATGTTTAAATTAAGACACAAAAAACTCTCAATGACAATTGAGTAGTCCTTGAGAGAAGCTATTATGTTTGTAGATATCTCATATTCATAAATCAAATCCTGCGCATACTAAACCCAGTAAAAAACACTCGTGCACAATGTCTCTCATAAAAATGCAATTATTCTGCTTAGTTATGTTTTTAAAATAGCCTGACATTTAAAATAATTGATGAATATGTAATTTGCTAATCAGTAATGGGCAGTTCCTGTAGAGGTGCTATCATTAGTTTTATAATTTATTATTCCAAAACTTTTATGAATGCAAGATTAAAGCTGGGAAGCAGAGAGAAGCCACTTCAAGATGACATTATCCTATTTAACACCCATAATACTTAACAGCAACAACAATTAAGCCTCACAAATCAACTCGACATATTGATTTCCTATTTGGTGAGTTACAGGTAAGACATTCGTGTGCAGTGGCTTTCCTCTTTCTAAATTTCCCATTCATAATCATGCACCCAAATGAGCACTGGAGAAACATACTTTACTGTGAAGGATTAAATAATGTTTTAGCTTATGCCTTTATTTCTTGTCTCTTTCCTCCAAGTGATAAAAGAGATCTCATTTACCATGCATGAACACTTACATTCCCTTTTTGAGAACATTCTTCTATTGCTGGTACAAGGGACAAAACTCATTTATTTATAGATTGCCTTATTTATCTACAGCTTTTGGTAAATACCTAGATTATCTGATCAGCTTGTCTCTCTGGCCTCAGAAGGAAGACTAGCTGCCATGTTCAATCCAAATGAGCCGGTATATGAATATTTATAAGGACATCAATATTCACAGAGTCTTACAATCATGCTCCAAGCTAAATAAAAATAAAAGTAAACTGTTATAAATATTACAGTATAATAGGATAAGGACTAAAAGGTATATACAGACTCATTGACAATATCTGTGCAAGTATTGTGGACAAAACATTTCAAAAGAAATTTACATAAAACAAAGTAGATAAATTTATCAAATATTGATAAATTTTCAGACAGTATAAAAGTACACAAAACATGGAAGAGAGAAAGAATTTTTTCAAAATAATCACTATGCCAATACATATAGTACATGTTTACTACATTTATATTACAGAATGATGAAAATCAGAGACAAGAACGATTTGGTAACAAACAGCAGAGAAAGTTTCACCAGTCACAAGGAAGAAAGACATTCCTCTGGGATGAGAACACAGAGAGTCCGAACGCCTCCCCACCCATACACACAGAGGAAAAGAAAAGCAATGCAGAGAGTCGTCTACGGCAACACAGGACAGACAGAGGTGGGAAGCATTTGGCATGTTGCACCACAGGAAGTCAATCACGATTGGCTAACGATGAAGGTACCTGGCTCTGCTGCAGGTCACTGGCTTGCCTGAGAGGAGTAACTGAGGCAGGAGGCACACCTGATGTAGACGCAGACCGGCCTAACTTGCAGCTTACTTTAGGTTCTGCGAAGAAGGAGGAAAGACAACACAATTAGCTGAGCTACATCTGTGGTGATGAAATGGCTTCCAGTCTCCTTTTTGCTTTGCTGTGTGTTCTGGGAATATGCAAAATGCATCCGGGTGTTTGTTAAGTTTGCAAGTGATTAAACACTTACACAACAACTGGCTCTAAAAGGAGCTTTATTTACCTCCTGCGGAATGAAGAGGAAACCTCCAGAAGCACACGCATTGTTCCCTTGCACATTTCACCCCATCTAGGGTTCAATTCTATGAAGTGATTACTGAAGCAATGACACCACATTAAGGAGAAAAGCAGGTAACCTAGTGAGTTTTGATCCCTCGTTTGCAGCTCTGGTCCACAGGACTCCTACATTCTAAAATGTCTTACTCGTTCTAAATCCATCGTTCCTTCTTTCCTTCGTTCCTTCCCTACTTCTTTCCCAGCCTACTCGCAATGTAACACCATTGTCACCGTTACCATTCTATCTCTGTTTATGTTAAATGTTATAATTACCTCCTGAGACCTGTGCAATTTATTTCATATTTATAGTCCACCAGCTGGACACAAAATTGAGACCAGAGCCTCTGGCTCACCCGGGAGAGAACTCCTAGGCTATCCAGGAACACAGATGTTAAACAACGAATGATGGGTGTCATCACGGAACTGCCAGTGTGGTGAGATTTCTTGGATAATTTATAGGATGACATGACCATGTTTGTTGTAGGAATCCCAATGGATTAAATTTTTGTTCCTTCAGCAAACATTTCCCAAGTGCCTGCTATAGGAACACTGAACAAGGGGCTAATTATCCACACATTAATGAAGTTTACATTTTCTCAGGCAAGACAGGCATTAAATCTCAAATCATTGGCTGAAGTTCGGAAGTGTATCAGAAAGAACTACAGGTCACTATGTTAGCATTTATCACAAGTATCTTCTGCATTCTGCTGCACCTGGGAGAGAGGCTAACAGAGTGGGTGGTAAAATCTGAAGTGGACATGATTCTGAATCCAGAGATGCATTTTTTAACCTAAATAAAAATCAAAAGTAGTTTGAATGCATTGTTCTCTTTTACTTTATTGCTGGTATATAACACGTTTATGGTAGCAAGAAGCCATCCTATTGTTTAGGATAGTGGGGGAAATTTGAACGAGTCACAGGTAAAAGATAGAATAAATTTACTTGCAAAGTTCAAAGAAAATGCCTGGCATGTAAGAATGGTTTTTGATAAAAGTTGGCTCTTACCCCACCCAAACGCACACACACATTTATACACAAGTGACTGTTATCTCTAGGCCTTTACACTCGGGAAATTGACTATATTTCTCTTCCTTTTTTCTGTCTCTGACTCTTAGCTTCTCTTCTCTTCTCCTTCCATCCCATTTGCTTTTTCTTTGTCTCTTTCATTATATTTTCACGCTTCCCTTTCCTCCTTAGACCATCATTCTTATGGTGTGACAGTTAACCGTGTCACCTTGAGTAAGAAACAACTGACTCAGTTGGATTCCCATAGCTCTGGATGTGGCTGAAGGGAGCTACAATTCTTTCTGTATTTATCTCAAATAATAGGGAAGAAGACAACCCGTGCTGGGTGTGATGGCTCCAAACAATAGAGTCGCAGCCTGAGTGGAATAAAAGGGAAAGGAAGAAGGAAGGCTCGACTCTGACTCTTCAGGGGAGCTCCAGACTCCACCCTCACCTTTGATGTCCTCTCCTGGCTTCCAGCATGGACTCCCTTAGCACTGCCCTCTCCCCATGCTATTGTTTGGTCTTGAGTCTCAGTGCTTTCTACACACAAGCCAATGCACACTGCCTTACGATGGAAACCAAGACAGAGCTTCCTCTCCACATCCTGGGTCTCTCTTCTGATTTCACCATGTATAGCAGAAACACCATCTCCATTTTTCTGGAAAAATCTTAATACTTCTGAACTTCCCAGACTGTTCTTTTCTTTTTTCTATAAATGTATTCCCGGTTGGCAACTGACTTTTCTTCTTTGCAATTCTTTCTGTATTTATCTCAAATAATACCTCAGAAATCCTTTTGTGCTCCATAAGCTTTCTACTACAAAGTAATTTGGACACAATACCAGGCTGAGTTTCTTGAATTATTTCAGGCCACCCACCTGTTAAAGTTTACTCCAATTATTCTGTATTTAGTGTCACCAAAGTATAGACTTAACATCAGAAATTAAAACTAATATTCAGAAGTCCCCTGTGATCTGATGCATCTGGTGAAGTCCACTCTGTTTCAGGGCTCCCTGCTCCCTTCCTGAGATCTGCATGTGTCTGCTTCCCCTTTTAACCTTTAGTTGTTCTCATGCATAGAGTTTTATCATGTGAAATCTCACCTGTTCTAAGACCTAGTCCAAGGGGTACTTCTATTAAATATCCTGTGATATTGTTTTTCTCTTTCTCTCTTCTGAATTGCCTTAGAACATACACAGTGTTCATATTACTTGCTTTGGTTTTGAGCATTTTTCTGGTAGGGACTATATAATAAGCATTCAATTATTACATATTGGGCCGGGGATTTAGCTCAGTGGTTTGGTGGCCTGCCTTGCAAGCGCAAAGACCCGAGTGGTACCAAAAAAAACAAAAACAAAAACAAAAACAAAAACAAATCAATTATTACATATTTAATTTCACTGAGGACACTCAGATTAACCTAGGGAATGTCAACACAACTTCTAAAAGTAAACAGAAGTAACCAGGTAACACAGTCTGTAAGGTTTACTCAGGCCTGGCTCCCTTACTTATTAAGGCAGTGACTCCCTTCAAAGGCACATAATCTTCTAGGATCCATTTCAAAAAGCTTGCCCTTATTTTTGTGCAGGGGATTCAAATGTCTGCCCATCTATTCCTGAAAATACCACTGAACTCTCTGGAATTGTTTAACTTAGTCTATCCTATTGTGGCATAGATAAAAATATCACTGTCACTTAAAAATTAACTTCATTTACCAGGAGAATACATCCTTGCATATCTTATGGATCTTGTTGCATGAAATAATAAGTGAAGCTTTCATTAACATTCCAGATGAGACAGCTTCATAATGAGGCAGTGTTTCTATACATTCCATATTGGTTTAGCACATTTAGTCATGTAGGTGAGAAATGAAAAGATAGCAAATAATATTTATTTACTATAAGATTCTTTTCAAGTTTATGTTGAAGCAATTGTCTGACGAAGAGATTATCTGACAAAATCCAAAGCCTTTTATATCATGCCATATTTAAAGATTAACTTATCTTCTTGAGTTTTCCAAACTTTGACTTAATTGGACTCTTTCTTTTCACCATAGACAGGGATATCTCTAAGAACCCACTGAACCTCACCAAAATCCAAACTCCAAATTTTCATCATGGTCTGAAAATGCTTTGCTCCCTCAGATGAGAGTCAGAGACCTGCCTTGCTTGGTTCATAAAATCCCCGTAGGCACTGTAGTATAAACACCTTGCCACCCATTGCATGGATCAATTTAAGCTGCCACCCATCTTCCTGTGTTAGCTCTGGAGTCATTCTCAGCATGTCTCAGAGAGTTACAACTCTTCCTGCAGACATATAAGGGGGTTATTCCCATAAATTCTTTATGTGCAAGTACATACACAGGAAGATGTGTACACACAAGCTTCAACTGCATTGGTGCTAATAATGGTATCTCATGTAGTAGGGATATTTTTCAAATTGCAAGAACTCTCTCCTGCCTCGTCTTTCATTTTCTCATGACCTGTCACTTCAATGCATCTGGAATTCATGCTGTGAGATCAAACTGATGGCATGAATCCTTATGAGGTTGTGTCCACTGACGATGATTTGAGCAAAGAATTACAGAAAACAGTACCCCAAACCCTAGAAAAGATTTAGTTATAATCAAGCCTCTTAGCCATCCTGGAGCCCTGTGACATCAAAGTGAAATTGTACAGCTCACTTACCTTTGGAAATGCAAGACTCTCCCACTCTGGAACAGTGAGGCTTAAGGGTCATGGCACTGCAATTCATCCTGAATTTTAATATGAATTTTGCCCAGGCCTTGGGAGAGCCCCCAAATAGAACTAGGTCTAGAAGGAAATGTAAGATAGAGCTTTCCTCCCCAAAGAAAAATTCATCCCATGACAAGATTATTTATGAACTGGAAAGCATCAATTCTTATTGCTTTTGAAAACTCTGTCAACATTATATATGTAGAAATCGATGTTGTTTGCTCGACTACAGTGAAGCTCAGATATAAAGAGAACAAGAAAAATATACCCCAACAGGTGTGATAGATTGAGGGTTTGGGAATACAGGGAGGAGAGGAAGGGAAGAAAGGAAGACAAAAGGAAAAACAGTAAAGGAACAGATTGGAGAAAGAATGAAGCAGGAGCACACTCATTTTAACTTCTCAGAGTTAAACTATTACCAGTATCTGTCATTTTCTTATTTCTGGGACACAACACTAGACACCCACCACTTAAAGGGGAAGGAGCTCAGGTTTGCTCATATTTTCAGTCCATAATCTACTGGCTCCAAGGCAGGGAGGCCTGGCAGAGAGGCATAATGGAGAAAAGCTGCTCACATCACGGCAACCAGGAAGTAAGAAGGAAGTGAGGAGCCAGGAAGGGAAATATCTCCTTCTGGGTCACAGGGCTCTTCTGACCTGCCCCTTCTGACCACGCCCCACCTCCAGGGATCATGTTTAGCTATGCCACCCCCATGATTCAACTGCCCTTCAGAAGCCCCTCCTGTGAGTGCATAAGGCTTTGGCTCAACATCTGGACGGAAAGCATGACATCAAGTCATTAGCATGACATGTTTTGCTGTCAGTGGTATCTGGCTGTCATTTTCCTTTTTATTAGATGAGAAATTATTGGACTGAGCTACCTATTAATTATTTATTTTCATTCTTAACAGATACATACTTGCATTGCTTTGTTTCTAATTTTTTACTGAAGTACTTATTTCTTATCTTTCCCTTCGGGTGAGGTGGGTTTCTGTCCATGATGATGTCCCTGAGTATGCAA